ATGAGATAAGGTCCTTATGATGAGTTAGAAGGGAGTTTAGAGAACAGTGTTAAATAATGACACACCTATTTTTCAACTGTCTTTGCAACAAACAAATGGAGAAAGAAATAATAATGATGATGATAATGAATAGTATGGTAATGCAGCAAACCAAAGAACCACATAAAATCAAATCTTCATCTCAGAGCCAAGAATCACTTAGTGTAAAGTATATTCAGATGTAGGGGAAAGGGATTTTATGTGCTTTTCTAAATATGTAATACATTGTGTCATGATACAGCAGGCTGCAACTTGATTATTTGATTTACATAATATGAACCAAGGGAATTAATTCATCTGTAACTAAACATGATAAAACTATGACAAATGTACTGCTTATTATCAAGGGTTTCTATTATCAAGCCAATTTCTATCAGTTGAGTACAAACAAAAATGAATAAAGCCTATTATTTTAAAACTTACAAGATCTTTTATGCAAAAGTAGTATATCTCACAAAAATTGAAGTATAAATTGCCAGCACCATTAGACTTCAGATGAGACTATAATTCTTAGTCTTCAGTGATCAGTTTCTTTCTAGAAGGCCAAAATAATGCATTCTGAATGTGAAAATACTCTATTTGTTTATGAAGTGGGAAACATTAGTTTTCTGCCTAGACTTGTGTTCATTTGGGTTCAAATCCTCACTTTAGGCTCACTACACATGAAGTCTGAACAACAGTTTCATTTACATAAGTTAATGGAAATAATCCTATTAGGCCTTGGCAGTAGGAAGACCAATAAATCCTGATGAAGTTAGGATTTATATTGAGCAATAAAATATATTGTCTTTATTTCCAAGAATAAAGATGCAGCTGAGAATAAGTCTCAATGTGGAATTTTATAATGCCCTGGGTTATACCTATAAATGATTCATTCAAAACTTACACTATTATTTGTATTAAATTGAGGTACTTCTATGTTTTATTAAAATTTATCTTACTAGTCAATGGCACTGTTTGAAATGATCTTTCAAAAGTATTGTTTCTAACGTATTTATAAGATTATTTCTTTGTTGCTTTGTATGTCCCTCCCCCACAGTATAACCCTGCTTTCACTGTATTTGATGTTGATATAATTTGTGGAGGGGAAGGGGAAAAACAAGTCGTTTAAATAAGGATACAGGTGGACCCGTTGCAACAATGAGAAGTACAAGTTGTTATGTCGAAAACGAACTTTACAACTTTGGTGGGGGCGAGGGAGGGTTGGGTGGGGAGGTGGGAGGAGGCTGGGAAAGGATGGGAAGGGGAAACAAAGGAGGAGGCTACAATGCTTGATAAGAAATGTACTCATTGGGCTAGGAAGGTGGCTCAGTGGTAGAGCGCTTGCCTTGCAAGCATGAGGCCCTGGGTTCAATTTCTCAGTACCACATAAGCAAAAAGAAAAAAGCCGGAAGTGGCGCTGTGGCTCAAGTGGTAGAGCGCTAGCCTTGAGCTGAAGAGCTGAGGGACAGCGCCCA